ATGAACACCTGGGCCCATGTACTTCGAGACGATGAGTGGCGTTATCGATTTTGTTCCTATGTGTTGTGGTCATGGTGTGCTCTTGGATATCGTCATGGCGAAGATGCGCTCCCGAGCTGGCGTCGCGGCCGGGCACGAATTGTGAGTCGCCGGGTGACGCGTGGACAGCTGAAGCCACCCGAGAGACAGATGGTCTGGAATCGGCGATTACTTTGTGCTTCCCGATGTTTCAATGTAGGCTTTCAGTCAGGGCAGGCGGAAGAGAATCGCAGAAATTGTGGCTCTGTATAAAGCAGGTGGGTGGAAGGAGCAAGAAGTGCGCCCGCCGCATGAAGTGCCGACAATCGAATCTGCGATTAATCGCTCCTGCAGTTGCCTCGTGAACCCCTCCCAAGTACCCACCCATGCCGGCCTCAGCTACTATGGGCCAGACCTATCGTCTAATTTACGATTAGCTTGTTCTATCAATCGCATACTATTTCCAAGCAGTAGAAGTGATGCGGGGAAAGTCGAGACTGCACAAAGACAATAGAAACTGCAAATCATATGCACCCACGCCACGACGTCACTCTGCTAAAGACTACGAATGCCACTGATCACTATTTACTCTAGTAGGTATGGTCGTGCGTCCCAGAATGCCTGCTCAATAATGTCGCAGTGGTACAGCTGGACTTGTGCGTGGATTTTCGGCTTCTTATTCTTCTTCTCGCTCTGAACTTCCTTTGTCCCTCCAGCCCCACCCTCAGGGTCGTCATCCTCTACCGGCATGCGCTCGGTGATCCCACTTGCATCAGCCGCGGTTAGCTGGCAAAGCGCGATCAGCCCGCCGAGTGGCACCGGTGCACAATGCTACGCAAGAAAGCAAGCGCACCTTCTCCCGCACGAGCACGCTGCCTTTCCTGTACCGCTCCGCAATATCGTTGTAGTTTATGCCGAAGCGGGAGAAGAGCACCTCGTGCTTTTGCTTCGAGACCGTCCCCTGCCGGAGCACAGATGGATGTGATGCGGGTTGCAGAACTCAGGAGGGGGGAAGTACCCGTACCCGAAGTGTAGAGTGCGCTTCTGTCGTCGTCTGCCCACCCTGCTGCACAAGAGCCCAAAATGTAGTATTGTAGAGGTTGTTTATATGAGCTACATGTTCATTCTTAGTTTTCTTCAGAATGTGTGTATGGACGAGACGATACGCGACTCACTGTCCGCTTGCCTCCAGGCAAAGTAGTCTCGGACTTCCTTAGCCGAAGGGTATAGGACTATTCGACCGTCAAAGGAAGGAGGATACTTGAGCGACAAACTGTGGAAATAACGCGGCCAGTTGAAGACGTATGAGGAGGTGAATAGAGACACCACCGTGGTGAGAATCTTGGCTTGGCGGCGATTGTACAAAGCAGTTGACTTGCGGAACAAAAAGCTTTATGAAACACATCAGCAGGTACGAGGATGGCTCCGAATGGCCACACGCACCTATACTCGTCCGACTCGCCGAATGCAAGCATGATGTCCTTGAACTCATTCATGACATCTCGCGCGCCATGGTCCATGAGCTGCAGAGCCCGCTCGTCATTTGGCTTCACGAAATCATGATCCTGAGATAATCTTGTCCAATCAGCGTGTGTTCCGACCACGGGAACACCGCATACCGGGGCACGTACCGATGGAAGCCATGTCCGTCCAAACGCACGAGAATGTAGGTTCCCGGGAGGAGGGGATCCGGGAGCTCAAAAATTTTCACGTATGCGAACTTTGTGCCCGCCATCTGCGCAGCCCAGCCAACAGCACAAATTCTTTTCGAGTGTGCGGGCCCGGCGAACCGTAGAGAGTGCGAAAGCAAGGCGTCAGGAGGACCAGATCCAATACCGCTTTTGGGGTCTCGAGTGACTCGAGATAGCGCCTCGCGGCGACCTGCCGTCTCATTTCCCGCCGTTCTAGCCTGAGCATTATTGCTCCGCTCCGAATCTTGCACTCCAACCACCACCACCACCCTCTTCGCTTCCCGCAGCAGCATCCTCAGCACCACCAACTGACCTCAGGCTTCTCGCCCGCAAACATCAATGAGCACCGACTCCTACTCAGAATACTTCCGCCGCCGGCCCATCGGACGCGCTCCGTCGCCGCCGACGTGGGCCTGCTACGAGCAGATCCCGTACGACGACGACGACTTCAGCGACAGTGGCTCGGACGAGCACTCGTGTTCGGAGGACGACGAGGACTACGGCCGTGCCCCTGCGCATGTCGACAGCGACAGCTCGAGCGAGGCGTCGCCCGTGCGCCCTGACCGCAAGGTGGACCCGCCCCCTGCCACAGCCTCGGACGGCGACATGGACATCGATGAGAGTGATGAGGCCATCGCGTCCGACAAACTCGCTGCCGAGTACAAGAAGGACGTGAAGGGCAAGCAGCGTGCCATTGAGCCTGAGCCTGAGAGCAGCCCCAAGCGGCAGCACCACAAGAAGCGGCGCCAGCCTGTATACACTCTCCGTCCCATTCTGACCATCCAGAAGAGCCAGGGCTTTGTTTGGAACCAAGTATGTGTCTCCGCTTTCTCCTTCCCCGCTGGATGCTGAATCGCCCCCAGGATTTGTTTGTACCACCGTATATCAAAGATCGATGTTCGTCGCTTCATTGCTCTCACTGTGACTCACGCTCATGAATACCATCCACTTCCTGTACTTGACCAACAGATGTAGCATCAACCTCGCCATCGAACTCCCGCGGGTTTCACCCGTCGTCTCTGTCGTCTAACTCCTCGATGACGGATTATGAGGTCGAAGTGGTGGAAATTCGCGTTAAGGAGGGCGAGCTGAAAGACATCATCCCGTAATGCCTTTGTACCACTAAATAACTTGTTTGTACATCATTTGCCGATCGCCCTCGTACGCATATCCTAGATATCCTTCATCTAGCTTGGGGTTAGCATTGCTTTCCCTGGAATCCACATTTCCACCTTACAAACTCTCTTCACTTTCTTCTCTCGCGATTACCCTGTATCTAGTTAGCTTGAGTCTCCAGTAAATACATAGCCGGTCCTGAACACAAATCCTTGTCCCTAGTCTCATATCGCTGCCAGCAGCTCATCCTCGAACTCCCTCTCCTTCATCCGTGCGGCGGCCTCTTTCTCGCGCTCGCGCTCCTTCTCTTTCACGGCCTCCTTTTCGCGCGTCTTGACGTAAGACGGTGTCGACCACGGCTTGTAGTCAAGGTGCCGCTTCACATAGAAGCACATGTACACCTGTGAGTTGAGGCATGCGCCAAGTGTGGAGTGCGTCACTCTAACAGTTATGCGCGTCAGTTACGTTAATCGTATGCAGCGCGGCAATGAGGCGGCCCTACTTGTCGTCATCGTATCGGTACCACTGCCACCAAGCGTCAGCAAGACGTCAACTGAA